TTAAGGGGGTCTGAATACTTTCCGTACCCACTGTATATTAAATATCAATAAATACTAAAATGGTGTGTGTGTATATATATATAATTTATTTTATTTTTTTAAATATTACTCTTTGGAAGGCTTTTGGAAAGTTGTTCCAAACCTGTATCAATTTATTTCTTTGGTTGAACATAAAAAGACATTTTGAATAATGTTCGTCACCAAACAGTTTCTGGTCCCCATCGATTTTCATAGACTTTTTTTCCCGCACTCTATGCAAATCGGTGGAGGCCAGCAACTGAAGAAAGAACACCGGTTTGGAACAACTCGAGGTATTGTAAATGATGACAATTTAAATTTTTTTGGGGTGAACTATCACTTTAAATGGCCTCAGTATAGCTACTGTTTGTTAGCTGGTAGTGTAGCTAATAAATGTAACAAAGCTAAAAAAGAAGAAGCTGTTTAAAATTAGCTTCCCCAACACTAGTCTGATTAGAAAACTTCTGTTCTGATTTAGTTTATCATGAACCACGACTTTTAATATGTAAATATTTAGTACATTTCTCCTAAATGACCCAGAAGTATGAAGTGTTTTGATGGTAACATATATTTTTCTTATGTTTGCATATCATGGCTTTGTTTAAAAAGGATGTTTCGTGCAACGCATTACGAGCTTGCAACACTTTTTCTAGTCAGCTGTTGTGACTGTTCTGTAATCTCTTAACCCTTTGGTTTTAACCCACCATGTTAGGTAGTAACAGGAAATGTGTCCGAGCAAGTTAACAGGTGGTGACGGTGTAGAAACTGGGATTTTAAATTTAAGTAGCCAAGGAAGATTTGCTCATAGCACATTCACTGCTGTTATTCCACTTCCTAGTTCATTTAAATGGAGGAAGTGGAGCTCATTCACTTTCTGTTGCACAACAGTCACCTTATGGCACAAGATGGTGTGTGTGGTATGTGAGATGTTTCCGTGAGTAACAAAACAGGTGTAGTCTTTGATGTGGGCGATTCTACAGCCCTCGTTTTATCACTTGTTGACAACAGCGCCCTCTTTAAGAACAAAATGAAAATGCACAAACATTTCACACCAAAGATGATTAAAAAACAACAGGACTTGCACTTCTTCTCATCAGCCTTTCTGTAGTATTAGGAAGGATGTATACATCGTCTAATGCAGGAGTTTAACTCAATTGTGCGTAGTAAGCCTATCTTAAACCAGTTTTAGTGAAGTATGCCCAGCCATAAGCACATGCTTAATGCTCAGCTTAACTTGCTGTGTTTAATCTGTTTCTGTGTTTGCATTATTGTATTATTATATAGATATTTTACTTTTAATATAGCATGTCTAGCCTTCCTGTAGAGCAGG